TATATATATATATATATATATATATATATAGGGGAATGATTTCATGTAACGGTTGTACAACAATCTAATGCAACAACACTTCTAGAAAACCATTTTTGTAGAATTTGTCACCCCAAAAATTACTCATACCCTTTCTTCATCCCAATAGTCAATTTCCAAAAAACACAAATTGAATTTACGTTATAGATATGGTTAAAATAAGTCCCCTCTAACTATGAATCTTGACCATCCATTTGGTCAATTTCAAGATCTAGGCCTTTACCAACTCAAAACCATTTTTTTTTCTTTTTCAACATTGTTCTTCTAATGATAACAAAACTATATAATAATTTTGAAACGAGAAAAATCCTTCTAAGGCCTAGATCTAAGCACTTTAACAAAATGGACATCTTATATTGATTGGGCTAAAATAACACTTTCTAAAATGCATTTTTAAAAGTTTGTGTTTTGTTTTTTTAATTATTCAATGGAATGAAAAAAAGTGTGTATTTAAAATTTGGGATCAAACAAATGACTATGACATGATTTTTTAAGTTGTTGTATTATATTACTTTTTACAACCATTACATGAAATCATTCCCCGTTATTTATAGGAAAAGTATAGAATGATACTATTTACCATTGTTACAAGGTAGTCACATTAATCTTGACCATTGGATGTGAAATTGGATGGATACATTTATTCCATGAAAATAGATTTTAAACCCAATATGCGTTTCTCATGCGAAAAGTATTTCCCGGATAAGGTTCTAGGGTGAGGCTTTACCTCCTAAAGAAACCATGTGGAAAAGTGTTTGATCGTAAATCAATGTTTGATGTCGCATAAACTTCCCTGCCCTATATATTACAAAGCACTCCGCATTGTCTGCGTCCTGCTTCTTTTCGCTGAAGCTGGGGATTTGATCAATCAATTGGAGTACAAAGCAAATGGAAGGCCCAACTGAAATCAGCAGCTCAAAGATGTTTGGTGGCTACAACAAAAGATACAGGCACTTCAGCGCCACCCTTGGCTGCTCCATGACCTTCTACATTTATTTTCCCCCTGCCTCCGCTACTCAAAAGGTCCCTGTAAGTCTCTCTCTCTCTCTCTCTCTCTGCT